CGATGCAAGGCCAGACTCGTTTTGGAGTCAAAGGCAAGTTAGCACCGAGATACGTCGGACCATATGAGATCATTGAGAAAATCAATCCGGTGGCGTATCAAGTCGCGCTCCCTCCTGAAATGAAGCATATGCATAACGTCTTCCACATTTCTATGTTAAGAGACTACCTCCGGGATCCTTTCCATGTAATAGAGCCTACTCGTGTAGTGCTGAGTGATGACTACACTTACGAGGAACGGCCCATACAAATTGTAAACAGACAGATCAAGAAGTTGAGAAATAAAGAGATCCCACTGGTGAAAGTCGACTGGCAGAACCATGGTGGTGTGTATGCCACTTGGGAAAGGGAAGATGACATGGCTAAAAGATATCCTGAACTATTTCCACTGAACCCTATTTTCGTCCTGAATGAAGGTAACTCGAGTTTAGAGGACTAAACTCTTTATAAGGAGGGGAGACTGTAATAACCCTCACCATTGATTACCGATAAACATCGATTACCGTTAAACTGAACTGATTATGACTGATAATTGGACTGGTTAAAGTACTGAACTGACTGACCGAAAATTGAAACTGAATTGAACGAATACATCTGTTTGAATTGCATGTTATCTGTTGACTGTTTGTTTGATCTATTCATATTTTATGTTTAAACTGCTAATTGAAGGCCCTATCGGCGGCCGAACTGGGAATTGATTTATGTTTCGTGATCCTCATAATTAATTTGATTTTATGGTATAATTATCTGAATACTGATTAGGTATGATTAAATTAGATTAAATACTGATCAATTGCATAGTTTGATTTATCCACCCTCTTGCCATTGCTAGTGGGCCCCTTAGTATATCATACTAGAGCCTTGCACTCATTGAAACAAACATCTTCCTCAGCCTTTTTCTTGCTCTAGCCGACCAAGAGAGGGAGAGAGCGAGAGAACTTGTCTTTCAACTTGCGAATTGCTTACTAATTGAAGTGTGGATTGCTAGATTGAACCTCAAGACTAGTAATTAAGGACCTTAGGTATGAATTTCACCTTCTCATTCTTGTGATTGAACTAATTCTTGCATGGTCCATGTTAAATTGTAGAGCTAAGCTATGTTTTAGTTCATACATGTTAATATAGAGCATAGTTCATGCATGCATGTTTGAATTGATGAGTTTTGAGTTGTTTTCATGGCAAAGTGTTACATGCATGTTCATGTCTTGAGTGTGGGCCATGTTTTTATCATGTTTTGGAAACAATTGGCTCCTTGGAGCATCAAATTGGAGCTTTGAATTGATTTCAATTCATGCATGTTTGCATGTTCTCCATGTTCATGAAAATGGTTTGAAATTGGGTTTGAATTAAACACCCTCGGGCCTTGATTTCTCAAAATTGAGCTTTGAACCATGTTATTCTATGTGTTTATAAATGTTTTCCAGAAAATGGGGCCAAGAGGATTGGTTTTTATGCTTTTGAACTTGAGTTTGAGCTTGGAGGTGCAATCTGGGATTTCCAGATTTTGCACTCCCGCTCGAGCGGGGGGAAATGCCGCTCGAGCGTGGAATCCGAGCATCCTGTATCTCTATACTGTTTTACAGTCCGCTCGAGCGGAGCATTGGGCGCTCGAGCGGAGTCATGTCTCAAGCTCGAGCGGGCGTCGAGCGGAGATTTCACCCATCCAGTACTTTTACAGTACGCTCAAGCGGGAAAGTGGACGCTCGAGCGTGTACCTTTGTTGCGTGACCGCTCGAGCGGGTAAATCTGCGCTCGAGCGGGACTCTGTTTTCTGAAAA